GCGAAAAAACAAGTGTCATAACAGATAGCCTAGCAGTTAAATTGAACAGATTAAGGAAACCAAACCTGAAATTGAAAAGAGATTTGCAGCATGTGAAGAAAATGTTTATTCAACCGCAATAACCGTTCCCACTGTCTTTCCCCCAATTTTATTTTGAAAAATAAGTAAGTTTCAGTTTCTTTTCAATACGCCTTCTAGGTGATGACTAAACAAATATACCTGGTTGTTATCAACCTGAATGGTTTCAACAAACAGATTTAGCAGCAAGCTTTGGAAACGCTACAAAATCAAGCTTTTTTCTATGTTTCTCAAGAAAATTTTTTCCTAATGGCATAAATCGCTTGTAAAAATCCAGAACATAATAAAGTTCGAAAAGTCTCCTTAATAATCACTTTTTTCGAAATACCATAAATCAATAAAAGAAACCATTTTTAGACTAAAACGAAGGCTCATTTCTTAATGCAGAATATTATACATTTTAAACACCATTCAGCAAAAATGTGAGATGTAGAAGAAAACAAACTTTGAAAAAAAAGTTCAAAAGATTTCAACACCATTTTTTAAAAACTACACAGAGTGTATAACATTTTCTGCTAAATAGAAAGTTTCCAAAGTGAGATTCCAATCAGAAATCACAGTCGCTAAAATAATTTGAGGTATAGGATCAAAATGTTCTTTCGAAAAACATTGAGCTTATATGTATATAAGTCAAAGATGATTTTCCCTCCATAATCTTTCAAAAAATTTGTATTCTTGCAGTTCGAGATTTTAAGATATGGTAAAAAATGTAGATAAAAAAGAAAAGGTAAAATGTACCAGGTTACTAACCTGGAAAGTGCAACCCAAAATGACTAACATCTGTGTCTAAGCAATATGTTTCGGCTACGCAGAAAACGAAAAAAATTTTGAACTGTGATTAAGTATAAATCCACTGAAGATTAATCGCTCTGAGCTTATTCCTTTTTTTTCAATCTATAGCCAAATCTTGCCAATCAGTGAAATCCTGAAAAGAAAAAGACCAAGTGAAAAAATGTAGCTTGATGTGGGATCACCAGTGATCAAACTCGCTATATAGATGAAACGGTAGCAGCAGAAGTGTTGGGTTTGTGAAAAATGATTTAATGACAATGAACTTCTCGTCAGAATTGTGCAAAACACGCAAATAAAAATAACGTGCATGTTCCTCTCCAAGAAAATTCAATTATTCTCCTGGTTAAACAGTAAAAGTGAAAATACAACCCGTACAAAAAAAAAGAACAACAGTCAAATTTAATGACAGCAAATTAATATCCAAACTGTCAAGGTTTCCTAATTCGAAAAAAATCGAAGAAGCAAAATCACTTTTTTAACAAATTTTTACTTTCCCGTCCCTCAACTCTAACGCTGAATTCTTGAGATTATTCAAACTTAAGACATTACTTGGCCAACCATCGTCTTCAGATATTACCTTTGTGTGAAAACAATGTATAACAAATTCAATGAGCCTATACTCAAACAAACTTTGGACGCATTTTCGAATAATAACTCAACATTGAAAGCTATTCAGTTTCAAAGATATTGTATAACTGTTTTACAAAGTTCCTTTTTATTCGAAAACCAGAACTATCAAGAACTGTTGAGAACAAATCTATAAATGTACCTCATCTGTCACATCATTTTTAACCTAGGCAAACAACAAAAATCTCCTTCCTCTAAAGTATGCTTCCATTCTTTTTTAACTACCAAAAAATTGTCCCCTCCTCCAAAAGTTTCTCTTTTAATTATGCTAAAGAAATCTGATAGAACAGTAAAACAGTTTCTGCAACTGAGAACTCGGTTTTCCAAAACCGAACAGCCTTACTCTCCTTGACCAATTACCTCAAAAAATTTATTGAAGGATTCGTTTGCATTTTGTTATACAGTTCTACATTCTTGCAGATGCTGAAAGACGTTAAAAAACAACATCTCTAATCTTTCTAAAAAGTAGCAAACGACACAAGTTACTCTAACTTATTCTGTACTAAAATGTGCATTTTTACAAATTGTTCTCCCAAACTTTCCATCTTTCCATTTTTCTGTATGAAACTAAACTGAGCTTCACGAGGTTTACCAGACAATAAAACCAATGTACAATCACTTGAGTAACAAATTTTAGAAATGCATGCTTAGTAAACTACACCAGTAACCATTTTGCAGTCGCATTGGAAAATAAATTCCTGGAAGTAACCTGCAACATAATTTTGAAAGAAACCTTCACAATCCATTTAAAAATCTTCACAATTTGTTACGTAACGCTTCCCCTCCTGTATACGTCAAAAACCGGTTCGGTATATCAGCATTTGGGATATACGAACTTCCATTCGAAAACATTTCTAGTATCAAATTAACCTAGTCAGTAACCAAAAAAAACGCTATTTAAAAATTTACAATTCAAGAACCTGTGTGTAAAAACCTCTCTTCCATAAAAGCTTAAACCATTTTTAGATCCCAAATTAGAAGAAAAAACAAAAACTTCCATGTTTTAAAATCATTTTATTAATAGTTTAGACATCAGTATTATTGAACAACAGTTACACAACACAGCAAGACTGATAAGCAATAAATTAGACAATTTTCCACATTCCGAGAACGCCGTGCAAAATCATTTGACTATAAAGTGTGGCTGCAGAATGTAGCTAAAGCCGTTTTACAGCACCAAAAGCTGTGCTTAAATAAACCACTTAAAAAACCCATAACCGAACCTATTACTTTTGCCTAATCTGTCCATAAAAGTTGGTCTTCAGTTGCTCCACACAGACCACAGCATTGAAAGAAATTAACGACAGTTTGACAAAATAACCCTTGCTACGAGAAGCCAAAAGCAGATCCGTTCTGTAAGAAATAATTTGGCCACAAATAGTTTTTAAAAGTACGAAAGCAAAGACAGAAACAACAAAACTGACTGAACTTTAACTGATCTGATGTTTTTAAAACAGTATACTCTAAAAAAGTGGCAAAACAAATTAAATTAAAATTCAGATAAAAAAAACATTAAAAAACAAAAAGCAAATACAGATTTCTGGCTCTTATCAATGCGGAGCATATAAAACCAATAGTAATTTTGAGTAGTGCTTATGCTCAACGGCACTACAAGAAACTTTCAAAAAGAGTGAAAAGCAAAGCTCCAGAGGTAAGTGGGGGGCAATGTACTTAAGAGACAAAACAGCAAAAAGCAGTAAAGTAGCTAAGATAGTTCATAGGTCTTAACACAGCAAATTCCATAAAACCAAAAAAAGAATTTAATTTTGGGTAATATGGCGAACAAATTTACAACTTTCTATCCCAGTTCTGAAACTTGAGCATTACAATTCTGAATCTAAAGCAAAAGTAACGAAGAAATGATGCAATAATGAAGTACGCCGATAACGCCAAAAGTCTCGCTTAAAAAGCTGGCAAAAAAATAGAAAAAGTCGAGAAACACTGATTAGCACCATTACGAAGCTAGAAAAAAGAAATTTCTGTTAAACGCATTAACGCAACGAACCGGGTGAAGACAGTATCATAAAAAATTGATAAACACTACTTGTTCTGATATAAACTCCCAAATAATTACACCTTAAAAAGCAGGCCATGAAAAAAAGTGCAGATTAGAATTTACCTCAAAGTTCTAAGTCTCACCACCACAAATTTCTGCATAGCAAATAGGAACATACAAACAGCTCTAACTAACCAGCTCTTCCACAACTAATAAAACAAATAAAGGTTTGTCAGCGATGATGTACCTGACTTCACTGCTGCAATGTAATGAACCTTTCATTTTTCGCAACTAAATCCCAATTCCCTTTCTCTTGCCCTAATACCGACAGCACATTCAGGTTCTGCTATTAGAACACAAACCTTAATTATTTTTATAGAAGTGTACAACAGGTAAGAAAAATTAAGGGGTATCTACAGCCCTTCAGAGCGAATCAAAAATACATGTAAATTAAACTGCCCATCCCCCAAAAGCTGCCCATGTTCGTATTTCCGTCAAGAAAGTCTAAAACTAAAGAGATTCTTAAAATTTTTCAAAATATTCATTCTCTTTTCCTACAAAAAAAAAAAAAAAGGATTACTTGACAAAAACTAGAACTCTTCAACAGTCCATTCCAAAAACGATTAGAGCAGAAACTACAGACCCTACTGGGATGAAAAACAGCACTAACTCTATAGGCGATTAACAACATACAAAATAAGATAAACAAATACCTACTCAATTATACGCAAATACTGAGATTCAATTTCACAAAGAGTTAAAATGAAAGATGGCAAGAAAGCTGACAAATGAAAAGCCAAAAATTGAAAGCCCAAATTGAATTACAAAAAAAATAAATTTCAAGCAAAAAAAAGTGACGTTACACAGCAAACACAGAACATGATTGACAGAAAAGAGCCGAATCAAAAACAAAGACAGGCAAAAACTGACGATTACCGTCTGTTGCAAAACTGTTTGGTAACAGAACGAGTACAGCAACGAAAAAGACAATAAAACTCTATTGTGAACAAGAAATCTATCGCAGTTTTCTTTTTAGTGAAAAAATTAACTCCCAAACTTAACAAATGAAGAGCCTACAGTGAAATAAGAAGCAACACGCTAAAACAAGCTAAATACGAAGAATCAGACAACAACTACTTTTAGAGAACAATCATCTTATACCAGCTAGCAAAATCCTAAAAAAATTTACCCAGGAAATCTTCAACCATAAATAAAGTCAAAAAAAATTCCAGGTCTTCAAGAGATAAACGAAAAACAGACAATGATTGCTTTAAAATTTTTGTTTTTAGCTGCCTGAGGGAAAAACAAAAGAGTACAGGAATGATTCAGTTCTGTCTGTTCTGCTGTTCTGGCAATAACTGTGGATTGAAAATACAATTTCACAGGACTTAAACGAAGTAAAATCACTAGCTTTCACACATAGCGCAATGATAACACGACATAAGTAACTTTTGTAATAAATAAGAAAAGCGCAAACAGAAAACGCAAATGATACCAGACGAGCTTTTTAGTTACGCGCACAACAAGAATTTGCTTGCATGGTAACGCGGTCCATGAGACTGATTCCTGCCGACCTCCCATCACTTTTATAATTCGAATACCTAAATATTAACACCACAGAGCTGCGATGCGCGTAGATAATTTCTAAGAAAAGATCGCAAAGAAAAAATTTACAGAGCAATAAAAAGTTCAGTGTGGTAAATTATAATGCTCTGAAGCTCTAAAAGTTCATAAGAGCATAGTTACCTATCATCACATTTCTTCATGTCGTTAGTTAGACGAGTAGCTACTTCATGGAACAACAAATCAACGTTGGTTGCATCCAGAGCTGAAGTTTCTAGAAAGTAGTCAAAACCGTTTGCATCCGCAAAGTTTTTGCCAATTCTTTCTGGGATTTCTCTTTCGTCGTCCTTGTCTACCTTGTTCCCTAAATATATTTTTATCATTTAAAGAAGACCTAAAATCACTCGAAAGGAAATACGGATATCAAATTTCGCTGTAGCTACTTCACAAATATGTGAATTGGTTGAACGCATGACAAGCACTATTCTGAAACGAATCATGCTCCAAAATTACGAGAGAATTCCTTGAGCGTTTATGAACTCCTTAGGCAACTTTAATGAAGCAACGCCTATGAAAAATTACATACTGAATGAAGATAACTTGACTCACCAACAAGAATCTTGAAAACCCGCCGATTAGCATACTGTTCGATTTCACCGAGCCATTCTGGAAGACAATCAAAACTAGGTTGGCAAGCAACATCATAGACTAACACAATGGCATGTGCCGAACGATAATAACTTTGAGTTATAGACCGGAATCGCTCTTGTCCGGCTGTATCCCAAATTTGCAACTATAAACTCGCTGTCTAACATTTCACTACACTTATTTGATCAATTCTTACACCACCTAAACAGAGCTGCTGCCTCCTCTATAATAAGAATTCTTACTAAACAATAAAGCAGAAAGCGATAAAACAAAAAGCAACAAGTTCCATAAGAATATTTAATAAAAGCACCTTTATTTTATCATCGCCAACTTTTACAGTTTTGATCATAAAATCAACACCAATGGTAGCACTTTGACCGGGCGGGAAAATACCCTTAAAAAAAGTGATAAAGGAACACTTCACCGGCCCAATCCGCTCAATATCATAATCATACAAAAAAGTTATAATCCAAAACTGATATCTCAAAAGCTAAAAAAAAGAAGCAAGGTCAGAAAGCTAAAACCGAAAAGAAAAACTAATGTGGCTTGAAAATTCAAATCAAACATATCTTGCTTTTCAAAACAATTTCATTTTTTTCATTCTTTTCTCCCTTTTACTAACCCCAAGACTTTAACAAAAGTCTAAGAAACTAAAAAATTAAAATTATTTTTGCTGTACTGGTGACCCACTTGCTAAAGGAAAGAATAAAAGTTGCAAATAAATTGAAAAACAAACAAACAAACACGTAAATTAATAAACAAATAAAAGATGAAACATATGAGTCAAAAACTTTCAGGTACCACTGTCCAGAAAACTAGGTTGAGAAACTCAGATTAACTGCTAATTGATGTTCCTAAGAAAAATTTTAAGAATGTGAGAAAAAAACTGATCAACCAGCAAACATATCAGAACATAATGGTGACTAAAGTACTAGACATAGCCAGTTAGTTGACCTGCTATCGACTGGCCCAGTCTATGCTTCAGTATTTACTAATGCAAAAAAAAAAGAAAAAAAAAGAAACGAATAGAATACGAAACCCTAGTTGTTTCTCCGAAATTCACAACTTGATATGAGAGAAAAAAAACCAAAAAAAATTTATAGAAACAATCGCCAATTAGAAAAATTTTAATAATTAATCACTTCGAGATCACCAAGCACATTTGGCGATGCCAAAAAAAAAAAGCTCCTTATAATGCTTCCTTTTCAGCTGTCCCTGTACAAAGCTCTTTTTTGTAGGCGACAAACTAAAGCTTAAGAAGAAGAAAAGATTTATAAAACTGCAAAACATTAACCTTTAGAACAGATGTAAATCTGTAGTTGAAAGAAAGTAATGTTGCATGAAAATAACTTCTACTGACCCATGAGAACACCAAAACCAAATACAAGCACCCTCAGTGTTGATTTAAAAACAGATAAAAATAGATCCCAAAAAAAAAAAAGTAAAACTGACCTGTGTAAATTTCCGGACCAGACACGTCTTACCAACTCCCGCATTTCCAACCAAAACAACTTTGAATAAATATTTGTAGTCCTCCATTGACCTCCAGAAGCAATAATCCTTAAAAAACGTGAATACTTTGAAAAATTTGGTTTTTAAACAAAAATAAAAAGAAAAGAAATTTAGTTTTGAATTCAAAAGAGAACGAGCAAAAATTTGCACAAACTGCTTATCCATTCTAATCTCATAATAACAAAAAAGCACCAAATAAAAAAAAAAAAAATTAGAACTGAACAAATTCACTTTTCACTAATTTTCTTGGTATGCAATAAGATAGCGTACTTCTTTAGGTGTTCATTCAATTTCTGCGTTGAGAAACGGCGATAGCTTTCGTTTTTTTCCCCGCTCTCTTTTGTACTTTTTTTTTTCGCTTCGTCTAAATTGTTACCTTTGCTGTCACAGAGAACCGACACCAACAGTTTTCACCATACAGGAGTAGCAGTCACAACAGCAACAGTAACAACAAGAGAGGTGCTACCAATACCAACTATAAACTGAAAAATAAAAAAATGGTGCTACTTTAGTAAAACTGTAGTGTTAAGAGCAGCAGCTGTTTAAGAAGGCCATGAAACAAATTCACAATATGTTGCGTTATCGCTATTAACCACTACCATCAGTATCACCTTCACTAATTACATTACAGCCATCACAGTTACTATTACCATTATCATTACAACAAAACACGTCACTAAGCAAACTTGACAATAGCAAGAGCAAAAAAACATTTTTAAAATCAAATTGAAGTAAAAATTTAAGAAGTAAAAGAAAACGTATAACTGTAAAAAGAAAGAAACAAGTCGTCAAAAAAGTTTAAAGATATATATATATATATATATAT